ATTTATACGCTCAAAGGAGTGGGCAGAAGTATACTTATATTAGCCCACCTGTTCTCCTGCAGCCTTATTCCATCACTTCTTATTTATCAAGACAATTATTCTTAATTTGTTTAAAATTAATTCATCCAACAACTCTGTCAACTCTTTTAATATAAAACCTTTGAAACTTAATTTGTTTCAAGATTAAACTGTTTAATTTACAAGTTTGTCCTTAAAACCTGTTTATGGTGAAGAGAAAAATAAAGTGAATTTATATTTTGCACCAAAGTTGAACTGTTTTCATTATTTAATAGCAGACTGAATCCAATCAAATTGAATCGAATCGTGTTTAATGGATTCAGAACCTTATGAATCGATTTAAAGCAGGGGTTTTCAAACTTTTTGGGTCTGGGGACCCCTTAGAAGGGTGAAAAAACTCCAGCGACCCCTTCATAAACCCCATGTTGTTAATGAAAAGTAATTTATTGTTATTTTAACCCCGTAATGCCACGGTAATTATTTTTGTTTGGTTTAGTATGTTTGTTTTACAAGTGCATTTTCCACAAAAAACGTTTTTAAAAATAAAAACCAAATTAACAATTTACTGAAATTTTTTGAGGACCCCCAAGACATGGCTCGCGGACCCCTGGGGGTCCTGGGACCCCAGTTTTGAGAAATGGCCATGATACCCAGTCCTACAGTCCACCATTAGCAGATAAAYGGACAGGATAGAAAGACAAAAAGCCTACTCTGCTTCCAGCGCCGCCCCCTCGGCCTCGGCCACCCGTCTGGTCAGCTCTCTGGAGATGTGCAGCGCCTCGACCCGCTGCATGTCCGTCATGGTGCAGAAAGACGCCACGCGCTGGTCTGAGGACACACGGGACAGGAAGTGAGTAAAGGGTTTACAGGTCTGCTCTCGCGCCCTCCTGACGCAGGGATCACAGGGGGGACTGTAAGACCCCCGCCCCCCAGGTTTGGTTCTGATAAACCCAAACATGGCTCGACCTCCTCAGGGACCACTCAGCTTTACGGTTCCTTTAGAGACGGCTCCTTTCAAGCCCTCCATCTGAGACTAAAGACAGGAGGATCTACATATTCATCCACCAAACRAGCCGTTCCATTAATTTGGTCCTCAAATCAAAACTAATCCACTTCAAGCCTTTCYTGGTTGGAAACAGAGACCAGGGCCTTCATTTGCATTTGAATGAACATCTTCAGCGTATTCCACGGCTGCATCAGGAAGATTAAAGCTTCCAGAGAGAGGGGAGCAGGAATACGGCTCGTTGTTTGTTGGATGGGCTGACGTCCAGATTTAAAGGACAAACTGATGAGATTTAAAAAAACTACACTACTCTGAAAAAAAAAACTGGGTTTTTTYTAAATAAGAGAAATGAGGTTTTCTGTGCTGAAAAACTACTGACATTTACTGAAGGTAAATCTAAAAAGTTAGTACGCTAGCTGAAGCCAAAATGTAGCTAAACGCTAAAAGTATAAAAAAGCTAACAAAGTATTACAAGTCAGCTAAAAGAAAAAGTATTAAAAATTAACTAGAAGCTAAAACTAGGGGAAAAAAACTGTTAAAMCAAAAAGTAGCAAAAGACTAAAAGTATCAATAAGATACCTAGAAGCTGAAATGATCAGAGGATAGCTAAATGTAGCCGAGGCTGACTAAAATAGAAAAGATAGCTAGAAGCTAATGAAGCAGAACAAAAACCTAGCCAATGGTAGCAAAAGGTTAGCTAAGTGCTAAAGTAGCAAAATACTAGCTACAAGTATAAAAAATACAGCTAGAAGCCAAAAGAAGCAAAAGCTAGATAGATGCTAAGGGTGGGAACAAAAACACTAGCCAAAAGTAGCAAAAGGTTAGCTAAGTGCTAAAGTAGCAAAACACTAGCTACAAGTATAAAAAAATAGCTAGAAGACAAAAGAAGCAAATGCTAGATAGAAGCTAAATGTAGGAACAAAAACACTAGCCAAAAGTAGCAAAATACTAGCTAAAAGTATAGAAAACATAGCTAGAAGCCAAAAGAAGCAGAATCAAGATAGAAGCTAAAAGTATCATAAAGAAACTAGCCAAAGACAACAAAAGGTTGGTTAAATGTATAAAAAATGGCTAGAAGTTAAAATAAGCAAAAGGCTCAGTYCTAAAAGTATCAAAAGTCTAGCTAAAAGCTAATAGTAACAAAAGACTAGCTACCATCTACAACTAGCATCACAACAGTTACAGGCTAAAAGCAGCAAACTGGTTGCTGAAAGCTAGCAGCAGCAGCTAAAGAAGCAAAAAAAAAAGTCGACTGAGGCAGGTTTAAAGAGAGGAAAATGTCTCTAAACAAAAGAGAAAAATTGATAAAAAATAAAAGTTTTAACACCACCTCCTGCAGGAGACGAACATTTTGAAACAAAAACAGTTAAAACAGACAATGAAAGTATAAATAATAAATGGAAACAATGTGTCTTGTTGTTGTTTTTTTATTTTATTTGCTACTTCACATTTAAAACATGATAATTTTGTTTAATATTTTACAAAGTAAAACATTATATTTTGGCTGCTCCACAGAATAAATGCTTCACATCTCGGCCCCGCCTCTCTGAGCTGAGCTGGTTAAACGTCCAGTTTCTGCTCAGCAACAAGGCTCCAGATCACAAGCGGCTGCCGTGACAACCGCCCGGCTGCTGTCAGTCACRCTCGCCATCATCTCTGCCGCCGCCGCTAAACGACGGACTCTGAGCTCTGCAGCCAGAAATGACTCAAAGGAGCACGGAAGAGGAGCTGCAGGATGCTCTGTGCTGCAGCTGGGGTTACACACAGTTCATGCAGCGGTGGTGGGTGGGGGGAGTATTATGGTATGTTCACTTTATCATGGCAGATGGGAAATGCGCTGACGTGACAGTGATTCAAAAATAATGAAGCAACTGAAGAAAAGATGATGTGTCTGAAACGTGTCGATGCTCCMCGACAGGAAACCAGGTGATTATTGTATCTGGGCCATCAGTAAAGCCTGCTTCAAGCTCTTTCACTAAAACCCACACTTTGTTTTTACTAAAAACAGACACATTTCAGGAAAACACGTCCAACACCATCGCTTCAAAAAGAAGAAAAGGTTCTTCCAAACACACGACCCAAGAAGCTGACGGTAAAAAAGCCCCGCAGTAAAAGTTTGGACCCGAGTGCCGACTCGCCGGTTTCTGTGGTGTGAAAATCGGTTCCACCTCTGCGCCGTGAAATAATGACTCGCTTTTCCAGATAACAGAGCTCGGTGGGAACCAGAGAGGAGGGCTCAGAGCAGAGGTGCAAAAAGCAGAAGGATTCCCAGAAGTGCCCTCCTGCAGCACTCAGAAACACACACAGCTCACACAGACCAGCAGCTAAAGCTTCAGCAGGCTGCTGGAGGCTCCACACTGTGGACAAATGACAACTTCTCTGTTACACCCTTCATCATTTCAAAGGYTTGCATTCTATTCTTTTTGGAAATGTTGTTTCTGAGCAGATTTTTTTAAAAGTTGCCTGATTTACTGTTTTTACTAGTGGTGGGCACAGTTCTGCTCATGCTAACAGGAGCTAATTGTTTGGTTAGCATTAGCTTTAGCATTAACAGACTTCACTCAGGCTAGAAYAAAATCAGTTATTTTCAAAGTTGCTAATAATCTTAAAACACACCAGTACATTCTTATTAAACAGTYGGAGGGTTCAGTCTCCTCTCAAACATGGACCAGATCTTCTGAATCATGGTTTTAATAAAATAATGTGCAATATGCTTTATCAATCAAATTGGGATTTATACAGCAACATGTGTTGTTACTTTTTTGTGGTGTTCACATGACTTTTTATTGTTGTTTGTAGTGTATTAATTGTAGAAGCAGCTTTGTTTGGCGTGCGATGTCCAACACAAGTTTCCCTTTGGGGACAAGAATGAAAGAAAGAAAGACAGAAAGAAAGAAAACAGAAATACAGATCGATCGATCTATCTATCTATCTATCTATCTATCTATCTATCTATCTATCTATCTATCTATCTATCTATCTATCTAT